GGATACTGTATTGTTCTTTCTTTGTGATTGTTTATGTTTAAGTTGTTTGTTGATGGTTTTTAGTTTGTTTTTTGTCTGTTTGGGAGCTGACACAGTCTCTGTGGAGATGGGTTTTTGGGGGGTAGCAAAAACCCATCTCCATAGCCGATCTCTGTTAGTTTGTCAATCTGAGTGATGCTTTAGCCTGATTTGTTAAGAATGGCCTGGTTTAACCGTTACCTGGAGACAGGTAAAGCTTCAGGAACTTGAGCTGTGATGTGACTCTCTCTGGCCTTGTTCTGTTTCCTGTCAGTATCTTCACTTCCCCGGAGCAGCCATCCACGCCGGCTCATGGTGTTCCCTCGGCGCTGAACACTGGCGGCTCGCTGCCTGACCTCTCCAGCCTCCACTTCCCCTCGCCACTGCCCACGCCACTGGACCAGGACGAACCGGGTTTCCCAGGGTCGTCCTCTTTGAGTGGTGGCAGCAGCACGGGAAACCTGGCCTCCACCCTCACCCAGCTGGGGATCAACGCCGCCAACGCGCAAGGAGGAAACGGCAGCTTCCACCACCCACCAGGTAAGTGAAGCTGTGACCTGTGAGTTTGTGCGTGGCTACAGGTGTTTAACGTCTTTTTGTAACCGCACACGTTTTGCGATGTGTTGAACTGCAGTCTGTCGTGTTAGCAGTGAAATGATTGACAGGTGTGAAATCTGTGCAGGTGAGAGCAGAAAAGGGCTGCAGCTATCGATTATTTTAGTAATCGAGTAATCTATTGACTATTCCATCGATTATTTTAGTAATCGGATAAGAAATACTTTTGTCTTATTAATGGGCAATAATAACAGGTCTGTCAGAACAAAGGTTGGTTTTAAAAACTGCACACAACATAAACTAAACCCCCGATTGTATTCACGCTATATTAGGATTACATTTTTAAAACAGTTTTTGTGCTGCTGAGAACAACGTTATGATGCTGCAGATGTTTATTAACATAAATAATAACTCAGCGTCCAGCCTGACGACCCTCAGGTCAGCGCCTCGTGTACGTTTGTATTGGTTTGTGAAAAAAGCTTTTAAATAAACAACATTTAACATTGTTTCACTTTCAATCTGAAAAATGTTACAACAGCCTTGATAGGGTCTCGTACACCCCACGCCCTCCTTTAGACACACCCCTGTTCGCTTCCACGTGTAATAGGACGGCCGTGGTCGGCCAGTATCAGGAACTTCTGCTGAACAGCTGCTGTTTCCTCGAGATCTGAGTCTCCATTTGTTTCTCGAGAGGCTGTTTGGGACAGCAGTGACTCGGCGGGACCGCACACGGTACAGGAAGTGAGTCCGTGGTCCCGTGTTTCAGAGTAATGTCTGCGACGGCGAGTCGGACAGGTCGTGCTGTTAGCTGCTGAAACATGCGAAGGTCCGGGAGAATCGGGAAGACTGAAGCTGCCATAGGAGGATGAGAGTTTAAGGTGGAGAACCAGAGGGTGGAGTCGCCGCAGCAGAGGCCACTCTTCCGGCTGTGGCGCTTCTGACAGCGAGCGGCTCTTCCTTTGAGCTCTACTGTCAGAGTCGGCAGAGGAAGTCCGTGGGCGAGCGCTAAATTTAACCCGAGAGGAGGATTTTTGTTGAGGGAGGAAGCGGCGTCGGAAAATGTTGAGTCGTCTGTGAGGCGACCTCAGGCAGGAAGTGGCTGAGAGCTCGACCTCAGGTTACCGTCTGCATCGTCGTCCTCTGACAGGCTGCGGACCAGGTGGACGAGGGAACGCGTGTTTAAATGAGGTCAGACAGGAACTGCAGGTAATGTTTACACCTGCTGCGACCTCCTGGGACGGAGCTGGTAGATGGCGAGGTGCGATCAGCTGAGTGCTCGGTGTTAACGTTGTTCTTGTTCTTGTGTCTTTCAGGACTCCTGGCATCGTTACAGAGCACGCTCGGTAACCCCTCCCTGCAGTCATCACTAAGCAACCCCAACATCCAGTCATCACTCAGCAGCCACTCCTTCTCCAACTCCCTTAGCTCCGCCTCCCTGCACTCATCGCTTAGCAACCCCTCGCTGCAGTCGTCCCTGAGCTCCTCGCCGTCGCTGCCATCCTCCCTCAGCAGCCAATCGCTGCACTCGTCTCTCAGTAACTCCTCCCTCCAGTCTGCGTCCAGCGGTAACCCTGGTTACAGCAGCGGCGTGGGCGGCTCTGGCTCCTGCTCCTCCTCCTACTCGCCACTGATGAGTGGGCAGGGCCAGCCGCAGCTCAGCACGTCGCCGCGCCGCCGCGTCCAGCTGTCCCCGCTCATCCTGCCGCTGGGCGGCGACTCACGGCGGCATCACTCCAAACAGTTCTCCCCGACTATCTCACCCACCCTGTCCTCCATCACACAGGTAAGCGATCACCTGTTCAAAATCAATACAAACAGGAAGTGATGCAGTTTAACAGAGTTTCCCGGGGTTAACGTCCCGCTTCCCTCTGCAGGGCGTCCCGTTGGACACCAGCAGGCTTCCTGTGGATCAGCGGCTGCCTCCGTACCCGCTCAGCCAGTCCCACCAGCACCAGCCCGGCGCGCAGCAAACGACGCTGCCTCAGCACCACCACCAGCCGCCGCTCCGCCTCCAGCAGCCACGGCCCAGCAGCCAGCAGCAGCTCCACCTGCAGAACATGCGGAACCAGCACCTGCAGCAGCACTTCGGAGCGGTACGTCCCCAAATTCAGTCCTGATTCTAAAGTTCCCCTCCGTTAGCTCTGGCGCTCACCACCGTGTTTCCTCGCGCAGCAGAGGCTGATGGGACCGCAGATGAGCGCAGCGCCCCCTGTGAAGAGCGAGGGCGTGCCGGAGCAGTGCATCCAGACCACCTCCTCGTCCTCACTCTGCCACGCCAAACAGGAAGCGGAGCAGCAGAGAGCCGGCCTCCATCAGCACCAGCAGCACGCCGGCCACAGCCTCCCCGCCGACATCTACAACGTGAGTGACCTCTGCCGCCAACGCTCGAGTTAAACACATACACTCGCCTTAAAGTAGGCGGAGCCGGCCGCTGTCCCTGCAGCGTAATGCTTCGTAATGCTTCGTTCTGCTGACGCTCAGGTCGCGGCGCCCATGCACGAGCAGTTCTGATTGTTTGAGACGTGGATTTCGGCGTTGTTGTGGTTTTGCTGCGTGTTTGTGGCGGATGCTGGCGTGTCCCACGTGATGATGTCGTCGTTGTTCACGCGGCAGATAAACTCCTGAGACTCGTCTGTGTCGGGGTCAGAGGTGAGGTCCTCCCACCTGGATCAGCTGGTCTTCAGCAGTGATTTCATCAAAGACGTGTTACCGTGAACACTTTCAGAGCACGCAGACGCGTTTCCATCTTGACATTTTTTTGCAGCAGTTTGTGACCTCACGAGGTCAACTGCACTTCCTGGTTCTGAGGAGCAGTTAGAGGCCACGCCCATCATCACGCCCATGACGCTCTACTTGGGGAGACCTGTGGAGCGGGCTCTCAGCCGGGAGGAGGACGCTCCGTCTGTATTTCGACGGCAACGGCTGTTAAACAAGCACCAAAATTTCATCTGTGCGCAGGTCATAGGGGGAGGAGTCACCTCCACCTGGTTTGAGGTAACGCCGAGGGGTGTGAAGGAGACCATTCCTCGCTCAGTGTGTTGCTGCTCTGGCCTCAAGGATGTGAAACATGCCGGAGGCGCCTGGCTGTGACTCCTGGGATGTGACTGCAGCACGAGTGTGGTTACTATAAAGCAAATAAGCCAATCAGGAGCGGCGCTCTGAGTGCGTATCTCGTAGTTCAAAATCAAATCAAATCACTTTTATTGTCACATCACATGTGCAGGTACATTGGTACAGCACATGTGAGTGAAATTCTTGTGTGCGAGCTTCACAAGCAACAGAGTTGTGCAGTTTAGTGTCAGCGAAGGATTTCTGCTCTGAAAGTTTGTCTTCTGAGTAGGGGTGGGCGATATAAACGATATACAATAGAAACTTTATACATTTGGCCAACGATAGAGATTTTGACTATACCGCTCTACCACGATAGCGCATGTTGATGATGTCATCAAGCTGCGCCTGTTTTGGTTGAAAGCATCATGGGCAGTGTAGTCCGTGCTGCAGGGAGGATGGACCCGTGATGTGTCTGTGAGCGAGGGAGGGAGAGAAAGGAAAAGTAGGAGCTGTCACCGAGCAGAAATGGGAGCTGGAAGCATGTAAATATAATAATAACCTGCAGCCAAACAGAGCCTGACGAGCCCAGCTGTGAGTAAGCTGTTAAGACTCGACTGTACACCGTGTTCGTGTTTTCCTCCGAAACAATAAGTTCTGTTGCAGCAGCCTTTCAACGCCTCTCTCTGTCTCTCGCTAGCAAAGTGAAGCTAGTTTTCAGCTACGAGCCGACACGAACCCGACGTATCAGCCAGAGGTCCCTTTACTACGGTTCGGAGCCGCAGACCTTCAGTAACAGTAATAAATCACATTCATGTAGTTGTAAACAGCATGATAATATATTAAGTAATCCAAAGTAATCAGAATACGTTACTCTCATTGAGTAACGTAACGGAATACGTTACAAAATACATTTTGGGGCATGTAATCTGTAATCTGTAGTGGAATACATGTTAAAAGTAACCTTCCCAACACTGCTCCTGACTGGAGTTTGGCCCGTGTACAGCATCCTGCTATGCGACTGCATTTGTCCCTGACCACCAGAATCCCTCACGTTAACTTTTATCGAGTGGAAAAAAGTTGGCTTCATCCTCCAGCTTCACTGTGCTAATGTTATGCTAACATAGCTGTGTCGCTAGCAGTCACGTAGCACAACATCATATACCAGGTAGCCCAACTTCAGTAACCCTGCAAACGCCACTGCTGTTTAGTTT